ATAACACCCCGTCCCACAAGTTTGACAAGTGAGATCACAGCTGAAGAGGTTGCCAAAGCAATAGACAGTCTGGCCATTAAAAAGACACCAGGGCCAGATGGGTTGACAGCAGAGTTTTTTAAGACTTTCAAATCTAGCTTGGCACCTCACCTAGCGGAGGTGTTTAACTGCTGTCTGGATGAGGGTTCACTCCCTCCCTCCATGAGGAAGTCAGCTGTGATCTTGCTGTCAAAAGCTAAGGACCCTACAATGATTGAGAATTGGCGCCCCATTAGCCTGCTCAATGTCGATAGAAAGATCCTATCCAAGATCCTTTTCTGGCGCTTGTCGTCAGTGGCAGACGGTCTACTTTCACAGCAGCACTGCTCGGTTCAGGACAGGAGCACCTTTTCAGCGGTGTTAGCTGTCCGGGAGGCTCTAGAGCGGTGTAGGGTTAATGGCTGTGGGAAGTACTTGCTGCTGGCGTTGGATCAAGCTAAGGCTTTTGTTTGGGTCAACCACAAGTACCTCTGGCATCTCCTTGACAGGTATGGCCTGGAGGGGAGGTTCATTGGATGGCTTCAGGCTTTCTACAGAGGGGCTGAGAGCTTCATGTTGATCAATGGTTGGATTGGGCGTCCCTTTGGGGTCGGCTCGGGGGTGCGCCAGGGGTGTCCGCTGAGCCCTCTGCTCTATGCCTTTGCCATCGACCCCTTCATTAGAAGGCTAGATGGTGGGGTATTGGGTGGGGTGCCGGTGGGCACTACTGGTGAGCCACCTTTGAGGGTCGTGGCTTATGCCGATGACGTATCTGTATTCATCTCTGGGACCGGTGAGGCGCAGGAGGTGGTCTCGGTGATGGAGCAGTATGCGGAGGCATCAGGCTCCAAGATTAATCAGGACAAGTGTGATGTTTTCTGGATGGGCAGGGAAGGTGAATGCTTCGAGCTTCCGGATGCCTTCCCTGAGCCCCGACGAAGGTAAAAGTGCTAGGCATCGAATTTGGCCCTGACGAATACAGCAAAACAAATTGGTAGTCCAGGTTGGCAGATGCTGATGTTAAAGTGAGATGCTGGAAGGGGTGGCGGCTGTCAGGAATGGACTCGCCAATGGTGGTGGGACTCATCTGCCTTGTGGGCTGCAGTACTAGGGCTAGCCAGCGGGTGCTCTCAGCAACCAGAAGCTCACTCCTGCAATCGGCCATCACCTGAGGCTGATTGCAGGAGGTGTATTTAAGGAATGGCCAGACCTGCAGTCAGTGCCTTGTTGTACTGTTTCGCTTGGCCCCGGTATCCTGATCCTGCTTGCTTCTACCCTGATTCTGCACGAACTCTGCCTGTACTGACCTCAGCTAGTCCTGACCACTCTCCCGCCTGCTCCTGGCACCTTGTTTGCCCGCTTGCTACCGACCCGGCCTGCCTGACTACGTTTAGTGTTGTATGTATGGTTGTTTGTTGGAGGTTTGGTTTGTTGCACTGTGTTATGTTTTGCACTGCGTTTATGTATTGTTAGGCTTAATAAATTGATTGTTATACTATACCTGAAGCCTGCATTTCCCTGTGTCAGTCCACACACTTCTGGTCATACCCAGATTCCTGACAGCGGCTGTCCCTAAGGGAAAGGGTTGACCTAATCAAGACTTACTTGGTCCCTGTTTTCTTATATGTCAGTTTCGTTTGTCTCTTGCCAGAGTCTCTCTACACAAGGGTTTACAGCTGCTTCTTCCAGCTATTATGGGGGAACAGACTGAACCTTGTGAAGCGGGATGTGACTTATCGATCCAAGCGGGAGGGTGGCCTAGGTATGGTCAACCCAGTTGTTTTCTTCTCTCTGATACTTATTAAACATAATCTTGGTAGCATGTTAAAAGAGAGACCGCCTGCATGGGTAGGCCTTTCCAAGTCTGGTTTAAGCCTTTTCTGAACTGCTGGGAGAGAGGCGGGCCAGTGAGAAGCTTGAGAGTCAGGCATGGTAAGCTCCGTGCTTGAAGATACTGAGGCGGTGGAGTGTGACTGCGGAAGAGGTCAGATCGCTCCCTGGGAGACTCCTGAGGGAGAGGGTCGTGGCCTCTGCGTTTCATGCACCATTGGCCTTGAAGGATTGCCCAGGCCATATTTTGCAGGAGGGGCTACGTTTGTTAAATATGGACAGGATTCCCTTAAAGTTTGGGGACCAGGCCTGGCTTGCGTTCCATGGCAGGCTCTATGTGAGGGGAAACCTGAAGTACCGTTCTCTGGATAACCGTGGTTGTCCGAGGACGGAGTGTGGGGGCGAGGTGGAATCTATGGACCACTTCTTGCTTCAGTGTCCCTTCAACATAGAGGTGTATAAAGAGGTGGGGATGGCTCTAGACATCCCCTTCCTGCACTGCATGTCTTCTGCAGAGTGGGTATGTGGGGCATTGGAAAGTCATACTGGTTTTGATTTGAACACCCTTTTTCTAGTTTGTCTAGTGACCCGTTACTACACATGGAATGCACGGTGTCAGGTTTCCCTGCGGCAGAAGGTCCTTCCTGTTCAGGTGGTGGTGTGTGACATCCTTAGTGAGGTAGGGAAGATTCTGGGTCTAGAGAAAGACAGGTTGCGGCGAAAGGCCTGGATAGAGGCTTGGAGGAACATCAGGCCTGTAGCTGCAATCTGTTGATCTCTTGGTGAGGTTGCTTTCCTGTTTTTCCTGTTCATTCACTCCCCTAGATTTTGGTAAGAAGTTTTTTTGAAGAAAGGCTATGTGCACCTGAGAGTCTAGGTTCCTTAGCTTTGGTTGAGTAGATAAGTAGTGTTTTTTTTTAAAGCCATAAAGGCTGTTGTTGTTCAGTGGAAGTTGCTTCCCCTGCAAGGGGAGGATAAATTGAATGCCTGATAAGTGGGCCATAAAGGTCTTGGTGTTGTTTTTTACTGTTTTTCCTGCTTCTTACCTGCCCAGATAGTAAAGCCATAAAGGCTAAAGTTTCCTTTTTTCTAATAGTATATATCTGATTTAGGGAGATGTATCCTGTTCTTATTTTTGTTTATTTTTCCAGATAATTGAATACTGTATGTATTTATTTATTTAGTGTATTTTTGTATAAAATGTAAGCTGGTTGCAAGATTTTATTTCAATAAAATCTTTCCAGCTATCCTACAGCTGGGCTTCGTTAGGAGGAAGTGGGTGTGGCTGCTGCACAGACAGCTTGTGAAGCAGAGAGTGAGGCTCTGCAGCTTTCTGGGCCTAAAACCAAGCCTGGGGCTAGATTTATTGTTTAAGCCCTCAGCTGGATGGCTGAGCCTGGCCATGACCCGGGTGGGGGACCCCCGCAGGGCAGAGTACTAGTCCTAATGCTATCGAGGACTTGGGAAATGTGCCAAAAAGGGGTGAGTCGTACACCTCTTATCGTGGGAGAGTGTCGGCTCATGTGGCCCGTATCGGGAGGGAGGAAGAGAGACTGACAAAGATGAAGCTTAAGCTACGGAAGATGAAGGCCAGTTATGACCGTGTGTGGAGCAACAAGCGACAGGCAATGAGACCTGAGCTAGACTCACTGGAGCTTGCTGTCCGCCAGCAGAGCTCCCTTGTCACATCGCTGAAGCAGGCAAGCGGGATCCTCTGCGAAAAATATGCAAATGAGGTCTGCTTCAGGCTTGCTTGGGAGCGGTCATTAGCCGCAGCCAGGGGACAGCCTGGAGGAGAGACCTCATCCGGGAATCAATCGGATCCCCCTGGTGTGTCATCCCCTGCAGTGGAGTGTGCCCCGGAGTGTACCGGCGGGAGGAGGCCAGTGAGCGTGGAGGAGTCGCAGGGATCCATCCCTGCTCATCAGCAGCAGCAGCGGGAGAAACAGTCGGAGTGGGGGACCCAGGAGGATCCCAATGAAGTGCAATTCATTGTGGAAATGGAGTCCCCGCTCAGTGGAAGGCAGTTTGTGTTCACTTCTGAGGAGTCCAGGGAGGATGAGGATACCTGCCCAAAGCCTGCCAAGCTGATTCCCAAGGACAAAGCGATGTTCGTGCGGCTGGAGCGGATCCCCAGCTCAATGATCCCTAAAGACCAGGTGATGGAAGTAGCGGCAAAGCTGGCAGGAGAGCTGCACGCAGGGACTGTGAGTAATGGACCTGATCAGTGTGCAGTGTGCATGCCTGTGAGGGCGGATGCCAGCCTGCTGGTTCGTGCAGGGACTGGCTTGTCTGTGAGTGCGGACGTTAGTCTGCCGGTCAGTGCAGGTGTCAGCTTGCCGGTGAATGCAGGTGTTAGCTTGACGGGGTGTGTAGGGGATGGTTTGCCGGTGTGTGCAGATGTCAGCCTACCAGCTAATTCAAATGTCAGCCCACTGGTCAATACTGATGGTAGTGTTAGGGATCCGGGTATGACCAGAAATGTGTGGACTGACACAGGGAAACGCAGACTTCAGGTATAGTGTGAATAAGACAATTTATTAAGACTAAACAAAACATAGACGCAGTGCAAGACTAAACAACAACACAGTGCAAACAAACCAACCCAAACCTCCAACCGATAACAATAGAAACAATACTAAGTGTAGTCGGGCAGTCCGGGTCGGTAGCAAACGGGCAGGCAGGGCACAAGGAGCAGGCGGAAGAGTAGTCAGGAATAGCCGAGGTCAGGACAGGCGGAGTTCATGCAGAGTCACGGATCAAAGCAGAATCTGGATCAGGCAGAAAGCAGACAGGATGCAGGTACAGGGGCCCATGGGAAACATACACCAAGGCCCTGATCACAGCACCCGCTGGCCAGCCCTGGTACTGCAGCCCACAAGGCAGGTGAGTCCCACCACCACTGGCAAGTCCATTCCTGACAGTACCCCCCTCTCAAGGAGCGGCCTCAGGACGCTCCAAACAGTCCGTAATGGCCCAAATGTTCCACCGCCTGGGTCCGACAACTGGCTGGACATCCCACTGCCGGAATCAAGCGATTGGCTGGGTCTCCTGCTGATAGGCCTATCTTTTTGTAGGAGACAGCAGGAAGGCAGATTGCTGGACACAGGATTTCCAGAAGCAGGCTGGGCATCAGGAGCTGGTACGTCAGGCTGGGCAGCAGGCAGAGGCACGGCAGGCTGGGCAGCAGGCAGAGGCACGGCAGGCTGGGCAGCAGGCAGAGGCACGGCAGGCTGGGCAGCAGGCAAGGCAGCGGGCACCTGGCCAGCAGGCGGAGCAGCGGGCACCGGGCCATCAGGCGGAGCAGCAGGCAAGGCACCCACTGAGTCATCTGGCACGACAGCGGGCACCGAGCCATCTGGCACGACAGCGGGCACCGAGCCATCTGGCACGACAGCGGGCACTGGGTCACCAAGCTCGACAGCGGGCACTGAGTCATCTGGAAGGACACAGCGGGTACCGAGTCATCTGGCAGAACTGCGGGCACTGGGTCACCAGGCAGAGCAGCAGGCACCGGACCATCAGGCACAACAGCGGGCACTGGGTCACCAATCTCGACAGCGGGCACCGAGTCATCTGGCACGACAGCGGGTACCGAGTCATCTGGCACGACAGCGGGCACGGAATCATCCGGCAAGACAGCGGGCACCGAATCATCTGGCAAGACCATGGGCACCGAGTCATCTGGCACGACAGCGGGCAACGAGTCATCTGGCATGACAGCGGGCACCGAGCCATCTGGCACGACAGCGGGCATCGGGTCATCTGGCATCAGGTCATCTGGCTCGACAGCGGGTACCGGGTCATCTGGTTCGACAGCGGGCACCGAATCATCAAGCATTGGATCGTCTGGCTTGACAGCGAGCATCGGGTCATCTGGCATCAGGTCATCTGGCTCAACAGCGGGTACCGGGTCATTTGGCATTGGATTGTTTGGCTCGACAGCGGGCACCGAGTCATCTGGCATAATAGGACCATCAGGCTGGGTAGACACATCAAGCTGGGTAGGGTACACTGGGTGATCGGGCATCAGGGTATCAGGCTGAACCACGAAAGGCGGGTTCTCAGAGGGCAGGCTGACCGGTTTGGATACTGGCAGGATGGTATTGGTTGGAAAGAATTTTCGCTTTTTCCTGGTTTTAGTAACTGGAGCGCAGGAAGTAAGCGCAGGTTTGTAAGTGGATAGAGCAGCTGTAGGCAGAGAAGAGCTGAGGGATGGAACAAAGGAGGGAGCAGTTGCTACAGAGGACTTCTTTACAGGGTTAAAGATAGGATAGGTGCAGCGAGTGGGAGCAGGGGACTGATATGTGGTAGTTAGCAGAGTATACTGGGCTGTCACTGGGGGTGCTTTCGGGGGTGCAGGAAGAGTGCCTTGAGCAGAGGAATGACGTTGCAAGCTGACTGAGGCAGGGTGCAACAAGTCTGACCATATCTGCAGTATGTACTGAACAAAGCTCAGCTTACACAAAGCCTGTCCTGTCAAAGACTGCACTGCGTTTATACAGTCTCTTAGCACCTGTTGTGAACATGCAGAATAACGCTCCAAGAAGTAATCCATATCATCCTCCAATAACCACACCAGGGACTCTACCTGGTCGGCACTAAATGGTGGCAAAAAATTCATCCTTGCATTCGGGGGTACCAGATGAAGCCAACTCTGCACAAACCTGAATCAATGGTTGCACCTCAGAGAACTCTGTGCCCTGATCTACTAGGCAATGAGCGATCCTTATGCATTCTAGTAGTTGATCCCTGGTATACTCCTTCAGAGTCTGATAAGCATAATCTCTGTCATCAAAGACTAGCAGAGTCAAATATATCACCTCATCAAGATGCATCCTTCCCAACAACAATAAGCCAAGATGGCTTCCCTGTGCAGCCACTTCTGGTCAGGAATGGCCTTGATGTTCTGTTAGGGATCCGGGTATGACCAGAAATGTGTGGACTGACACAGGGAAACGCAGACTTCAGGTATAGTGTGAATAAGACAATTTATTAAGACTAAACAAAACATAGATGCAGTGCAAGACTAAACAACAACACAGTGCAAACAAACCAACCCAAACCTCCAACCGATAACAATAGAAACAATACTAAGTGTAGTCGGGCAGGCCGGGTCGGGTCGGTAGCAAACGGGCAGGCAGGGCAGAAGGAGCAGGCGGAAGAGTAGTCAGGAATAGCCGAGGTCAGGACAGGCGGAGTTCATGCAGAGTCAGGGATCAAAGCAGAATCTGGATCAGGCAGAAAGCAGACAGGATGCAGGTACAGGGGCCCAAGGGAAACATACACCAAGGCCCTGATCACAGGCCTGGCCATTCCTTAAATACACCTTTTGTAATCAGCTTCAGGTGATGGCTCATTGCAGGAGTGAGCCTCTGGTTGCTGAGAGCACCCGCTGGCCAGCCCTGGTACTGCAGCCCACAAGGCAGGTGAGTCCCACCACCACTGGCAAGTCCATTCCTGACAGGTAGCCTGCCAGTTAATACAAATGTCAGCCTGCTGGTTAATACTGATGGTAGCCTGCCAGTTAATAGAAATGTCAGTCCGCTGGTTAATACTGATGGTAGCCTGCCAGTTAATGCAAAAGCCAGTCTGCCGAGTCCAGTGGATGTGGTGAGCCCCCCTCCTGTGGTTGGCAGGGTGCTTAATTTCTCTGCTGCAGTGAGAGGGGGAAGGAATGTGGCAATGTCATCTGAGAGGAGTGGTGGAGGTATGGGTGTACAAAGGAGGAATGTGGTCCAACTGAGATGGGAAGGAAGGGGTTCCCCCCTATAAGAAGGGAAGTGGTTGACCGCTTAATGGAAATGGGGTTTAGAGCACAGGAAATCTTTGCTTTTATAGCCCCGGCAGGCACAGGGAGTATGATATATCCTTTCAGAGGGTGGAAAGTTTAGATGTGTTTTGGATCCGTTATGAGAAGGATTGCAAGGGGACCCCACGGTGGGACTAGTCCTAAAAGTCATCTCAAGGCAGTCATTGGTGAAGAGTGTTACAATTCTGGTGCGAAACGAATCGATCCCACCAGCGGATATAACCGTTTGGCTGGGGAGGTATGGTGATGTGCTAGCTCCATTGAGGAAAATGTTGGATGACAGGGGGATTTGGACAGGAGGGTGGACAGCAACAATGAGACTGCACACGGAAGGTGATAGAATTAAGCACCTACCTACTTCAGCCTTCATTGGCAAGGATAGTTTAGTTATATTCTATGCGGGGCAGCCAAAGGTATGCCACAGATGTGGCAGTAAGGGACAGTTCGCAGCAACCTGTGAAGTGCTCAAATGCTCGCTATGCCAGGGTGTTGGGCATACGGCCCGTGAATGTAACTTAATTAGGTACAATTTATGTCAACAGCTGGGACATTCTTATAATCGTTGTCCTGAGGCCCTTCATAATCTGCCAGGATTAATGGAGGAGCTCAATAGGATGGAGGCTGAAGAGATGGAGGTGGTGCCATCTCCCCCTCCCCCTCCCCCTGGTGATCCTGCCACCTCAGGTGCTCCGACACCAGAGGCACCCAATGTGACCCCTAATGTGCCTGTGCCTCCCCCCTCTGTGAAATCCCCCCCTGATCCTTTGCCTCCCCATGCTTCTCCCCCAGTGTTGCCTATCCCTGACCCCAGTGTTCCTGTCCCCCCTGCCCGGAGAAATCGGTGTGTGAGGGCCAGGAAGGCATCTGCAGCACCTTCTGTGGTACCGCCCCCAGTTCTGCTCCTGTTACGTCGCCAAGATCCTGTAGGGGATGGGGTGGCTTCTGGTGGTGTTGGGAAAGGGAAGCTTTCAGTTCCTGCCCCTGAGGATAGTGGATAAGGAGGAAAAAAAGAGGGTAAGGGGGAAGGGTGGTCGGTGGTGAGGAGTGGGAAGAGCAGGGTAGTGTTATCTCCTGCATCCTCAATTTCTTCTTTTGAGGTGGAGGAGGTTTTTTCCAAAAATCGTTTCGATATTCTTTAAGGAGAGGAAGGAAACTTTGTGGGAACCCTCTCTCCCATGGATAAGGGGGAGGCTGGAGGGTTTCTAAAAAGAGTTGGGTCCCCTGCAAAGCAGAGGAAAAACAAAGGTTAAGAAACGACCATCTCAATTACCATGATGGCAGTTCCCGCTCCGATAAAGGTGGCAACCATTAATGTTGCCAGCATAAAGTCTGTAGGTGCTAGGAGTGTGGCCTTATTTTTGCTCAGCAGTATTTGTGCTGATGTTTTGTTTTTGCAAGAGACCAGGCTCAGCAGTCTGGCTGATGTCCATCTGGCGAAGAGGGAGTGGAAGTGTGGTCCCTCCTTCTGGTCTCTTGCGGCCGAGCCTTACAGTGGAGTTGCGGTACTTTTTTCCGGCAAGGTAACGTGTCGGCGGGTCATTGAGGTGGAGATTGGAAGATGTATGGTCTTGGAAGTCCTTGTGAAGGGGCAAGAGCTAAGGCTCATTAACATCTATGGTCCCCAGTCTACGTGGGATAGGAAATGCCTCTTTACAAAGATTAAGCCTTTCCTTTTTATGTCCCGGCAAGTTGTTTTTGGAGACTTTAATACTGTCACTAGGCTTAAGGACAGGAAGGGCTCCAATGACAGGCTGGAGTATGACAGCGTTTTTTTAAATGCGATAGTTAGGGAAGCAGGTCTGGAGGATGCCTTAATTAAGCGCAGCCCAGACAGCACGGGATTCACTTTTAGGCGAGGTAGAAGTGAGAGTAGAATAGATAGTTTTTTTTTTTTTTTTAAAGGGGGTGTGTTGCCTTCACAGGCTAATGGAATTATAGTTACTTATATGGGATATGTAGTGTACCACTGCCATCTAGTGGCAAACATGAATGGCAGTTCTCCTCTGGATATATAAATTCTCAGACAGGAAATGACTTTTGGTTTAGGAAGTTCTTCAGCCATTTTAGATTGCCATTCACTGTGGATGCAGTGTGCTTGCTTCTCTCCCAAGGGGCTTGAGACATCATCACCTGTAAGTGCCTTTCTGCTGTGTCATCTGTCATTTATGCTACACTAGTTATTCTATGTATACTGATATGCTGTCATTGTATTGTGTTTCAGTTTCACCTATAAAATAACGTTGGATTCTTTGGTAGACAACACAAGCAGTGTGCTTCTGTTTGCTGGAGATTCTGACAAGGGTTTAGCTGTCCGTTTAGAGACACATAGTCAGAGTTTTGAGAAAGGAACAGTGAAAAGGTGCAGCGCAACAAGCCTGGAGATAGGAGTCACTGCACAGACAGAATGAGTCTAAGATCAGGAAGGCAGTATAAGGCTGAAGATCGGCCACCCGGGACACACCAAGGCAGGGAGAGCATTCCAAGTGTCCAGCAAGATGATGCATGCTCACACTCGTCTAGATCAGCAAGGTCCAGTCAGATTTCATCAGCAAGTGCACTTTTAGCCAGAGCTCGCGCCAAAGCAGAGGCAGCTCGTGTTCAGCTAGAATTCGCTGAGAAAGAGGCCATCGTTATGAAGGAAATTGCTGAGAAAGAAGCCGCCGCTGCAGCAGCAGAGGCCACCATTATAAAGGAAAGGGCTGAGAAAGAAAAAGAAAAATCAGAACAAGAAGCAAAGTTGCATATTCTTCAGCGTCAGTGTGCAGCCGCCGCCGCAGCAGAGGCCGCAGCTTATGCCGAAATGGAATGGTCTGGAAGTGGGTCTATCCACGAAGGCCCATATGTGCCTGAAAAATCCCTCTCCTCAGTAGAACGCACAAGGCAGTATGTCCAAGAACTTTCAAGCAGCAATGCAACAAAACA